CTCACATTCCAAACGAAAAATTACGGTAGCAAATCACCCGGTTCTTTACGACCAGAACTATTTACCGGGATAAAAACCGGAGGAACCAGGCATGGAGGGAGGTGGCAGAGACAGTGGGTGAAACTGGTAGGGTTTTCGCCTGTTTGGAGAGTTTATATCCAGTTTACTTCGTTTTAACATTGCTATTGCTTTGTATGTCGGGTGCGGGAGATTCATGCAAAAAATCGCCAACCTTCAGACACGCCCAGCATCAAGATTTTTCAAGATTTTTTTCATGCCTGTGTGTGGATGGGCCGTTAGTCTGACCTTATGTTTCGAACCTTGCAGGGATCTGGGGGATGAACAGCAAAGATATTAATGTCAGCCATGTGTGAAGAGGTCGCTATAGCATTTTCTGCAACCAGGGCCGAATGGAGTACAGTGGGGCCCTCTCAAGCTATCGCCGACACCCTGAGCCCCGCACATCTGGTGTTAATCAGGAAAGCTTACACAAACACACACATACAAAGAGACAGACACACACAAGCAAACACTTCTGCAAAGATCCCCTTAAGAAAATCCCTCTCAACTCCTGAACTTCCGACATGACTGGGGTCAACAAACTTGCCCTGGATATTTAGTACACACACCAGAGCCATGTAATAAGAGCTGTTGAGTTGTTACAGTACAGTGTTCACACACACACACACACACACACACACACACACACACACAATACATCTTAGAATCGGCATTGGAAGGTGTACAAAAAATGCGAAAGATGTCAATCCAAATGAGGGATATTATAAAGAGACAACATAAAGAGAAAATGTGTGTTCTTAGCTAGTGATAAAATAAAGACATGACCAACGTTCTTAGCTAGTGATAAAATAAAGACATGACCAACTACACAGCATTGGAAGAATTATTACATCACAGAATAAAGGACCTGATAGCTTACTTTGTGCTAAATTACGTAAGATTTTAACAAAGCTATATACAATGACAAAAACACCACTGTATGTCATTCATTCAATTCTTCAATTAAAAATGAGAAAAATAAACTAAAAATGTGATTAGTAAAAGGTATTTTAAACTTTAATTAATGAACTTACATTTATATTCTAAAAAGTGAATCCTTTGGTGGTTGTTATCTTTTAGACTAGCTTATAATATATCTAGGCTCAAGTTAAAGTTGTAGGAATATAAGGGAATGACCTATTGTCCTCATTCTTCGTACTTAAAGATGATAACAGCTTTATTTTCCACACTGAACAGGTAAAACAAAGCGAACAAGGAGAATCAGGAAATCACTTTTCACCAAAGACATTTCGACAAATCACACTATGAAAATCACAAGTGTGAATATGGACCACAATGACTGATGTTATATATAAGTGCTGTGAAAAGGGGGATATAGTATTTGATTTAATTTTAGAATAATTATGTTTCAATCTTAAAAATGTGTAGAGCAAAAATGTAAAGGAACATTAATAAACGTGATTCAACGAATCGTGTGTAAATGTACTGCGGGTGATATGACTACAGTATATGAATGATGTGTACTGCTGTAAACTATAGGCTTGCTTACCATTGGTCTTTATGTGTGGCTTAGTGACTGTGAAAATGACAAACCTCCGTCCACACGTTTATTCGACACCCGTTTCTGGTCTTCTCTCTTCAGGTAAGGACCAGCCAAGAAACAGTCTCCTGGCCCATGAAGAAGATTGTACAGGGAGACATATACAAACATGTTTGAGTATAAGAGATACTTAATAACACCCCAATTACAGTGAGTCAGAAACACTCATGGCTAGCTAAAATATTTTAAACTTCATCCCTATGACGTTGTGTTAGCTAAACACATTAGCTAGCTTGTGTGAAGTAAAGGTTAGCTAGCTTGGGGTAGATTTGCGTGACTTTAGCGGCACAGTGTTGCGGTAATTATGCCAAATTAATCGGTTAGTATCTAGTCTTTTGGTTTGTAAAAGTGAAAAAAACGGATGAAAAATATGTAAACTAAAGCTAAAATCTCACCTTTGTGTGGTTTGTCAAACACTGTTTTCGAATGCGTCGTCTTCTTTACCTCCCGTTGCCAGCGCAACAAGAAACCGTAATGAGCTCACTGCTCCCCCTTGTGCCCTTACAACTAAACACAAGGCTCTATCTGCGCATGCGCTTTAATGACATTAGCCAAATGGAAAAGGCCAGGCTAGCATGGCAAAAACAATCCAAATAAATAAAATGCCACTGTATAAATCCTCTGACAAACAGGGTTTAATGAAGCAGTACTGACTTAAAATATAAAATTGTACTAGGTATAGAAAATTATAGGACATCTCCACTTTGAATATAGTATGTCATATCTTATTTTACTTTAGCCTACTGTTTCTTGTATATCTATACTCTGTACAAATATTATGTTTATTTTTTATTTGTTACAATAGTTTTTTTAATAGTTTTTATAATCGTATTATTTTTTGCTCATTTAAAACAATACCAGATTCTTCTTTTGGTATCTGCTCCATTTACACCAAAGCAAATTCCTCGTATGTGAAAATCTACTTGTTTATAAACCCTGATTCTGAAAAGCTACAACAATCAAAAACAAACTGGTGTACATGTACATTTATTGTCATCACATACAAAGAATATAGGCCCAACATTTTTTTTGTTTAAAGACTAAAAATTCCCTGTAACATCTAAAAAAATATATACCAACCTGTGGCCGGAAAACAGCTATGTTGGTTTTACCTTTGAATCTTAGAGATGATAAAATAAGTTTTTTCAGTGTGGACAATTTCAATAACAATATCACAAGAAGTACATCCATAGGATAAGATTCTTTGATAATTTCTCTGTGATGATGCAAAGTTGGCATAAAGCCCAGATATGGCAAAAATGAGAGTTGAAAAATACAAAATGTGGTTGTGTTTTTTAACGTACCGGTGTACAGGTTTCAACTTTTTTGAAGCGAAATCAAGTTGTGTATAGTTGTGGCCAGGGTCTTAACGCTTATTTGGATACCCTTTGATACCCACATGTGCATGCCATAAGGTACATTCAGTTTAAAGGCAATGGTATGGTTTGTATGTGAAGTATGCAGACGTATAATTCTATGACAGCCGGAAATTGGAAAGCAACATAATATACCTGACAGCAGTAAATACATCACGAATATAGTTGCACCAGAGTGCACAAATTGTCATTCACATTGTCATTTTTGGGAAGTAATGTCCATTATGAGATCAGGAATCATAATTGTTATTTTGTATCGCCATCAAATAATAAGACTGTAAGGATCCTGGGATTTATGATGTTTGTTTCAGAATGTGTGCAATGTTGAAATGAACACTCAATGTGGCTCACTATAACCTGCAATCTCACAAAAATCAGCCTTGAAAAAGCCCTGACACAACGTAGTCGGAGGCTTCTCCATCAATAAGGCCAGCTCCATCATTGTTAGCAAACCAGCAGGGAATACTTTTCCCATTCTTCACATCCCTGCTGAAGTCCTTCTGCCAGTGTCTGTGAATTCAAATAAAAAAAAGCTGTGATGAAATACTCCTTGAACTTGTATGCATTATGTGTTTGTGTGTTTAAACCATATTACATATTACCTGGTTACGTTGAGTATTTGTCCCTTCACATACATGGTGGCATCTATTTTTTCCTTGTTCTTATGTGGATGCAGGTCTGTCAACTCAAACCCAACGCCATGGTAGAACTGACCTGGAGGAAGATTATTTGTATAAAATAAGGAATCAGGAAACATAAAAAAAGCTGCACAGTGATTGTATAATTAAAGGAAACTAGATATTTACCTAGCAAACCATGAACCGAATCAGACAAGTGGTGGCTGTCCAGGTTGTAGAAACCCAGGTAGTCCTGTTGGTCGTGGAGATCCTTCCAAACCTTTGTGTGTCTAATGACCTCAAATCTAACCGAGTGCTTCAGCGTCACTGTCAGGCTGCAGTTCTTAGTCAACCTGAGGTCCATACTGGAGGAGAGACAAAGGTAGTTAGGTGTATTTGTGAAACACAGGAGCCATGAAAAGCAGAGTGAAGATTTATTTTTCAATGCAATTTTAGGTCAATTTGGTTTTCAGTGTAAGACTATTAGAATATATTTACATACATTAATTCAATGCATTTTATTGAATCAATGGACATCTTAACACATTCTCATTTTAAACTAGAAAATCAGCAGATTAATTCCATACAAGATATTTTTACGAGTCAATAAAATAAGGCACGCAACTTAAAGTGGACCTATCATGCTATATTTGAAAAATATATTGTAGGGCCATACCTATACAAAACATGTCTGTGAAGTTTTTTTCTCAAAATACCAAACAGTTCACCCATTGTAGCCTTCCCTCATACTGCTCAAACCCCTCTTTTGAAGCCCTGTTAGAGAAACGCGGATCTTGGGTCCTTAGCTTGAAAAAAAGAAAGAAGATGAGGCGGAGCTAATGCCTGATCAGAATTCTACCGGAGATAAAGTTAAATTCTGCTGTGATAAAACGCCATCCTGTTTAAACCACGTCAAGGATTATTTCTGAGAAATAATCCTTGACGTGGTTTAAACAGGATGGCGTTTTATCACAGCAGAATTTAACTTTATCTCCGGTAGAATTCTGATCAGGCATTAGCTCCGCCTNACGTTGCGCGGCTCGCTGCTGTGAGGAGGGGACAGTGTGAGCTCTATTACTGGTGTTGTTTCCTGGTTGCTGCGTGGGGTCTGCGAGGCTCCACTAGCCTACCATGATACTGACTGTTGCTTTAAAGTGAGTTGACAGCAGTTTTATTGCTCATCTCATCTAAGATTCACGAAGAAAATAAATGTTGTAGAAAATGCTATACTATTCCTATTGAGGATTGTTACTTTGTTTCCTAGGTTATAATTTATCTCAGGGAATGTTCATGTTTACCTGCTCATTGTATTATTTCTTTTCAGCCACCGATATCAATGGCGCTGTACTGAGGGCAGTGAAAATGCTGGAGAAAGAAAGAAAAGATATGAACCTGCCAGAAAGGAGTACAGATATGATTATTTTACTGACTGACGGGATGCCCAACAGCGGTAAGATGTCTTGATTTGAAGATTATAATAAGATTTGTGCACTCTGCATAAGCATTTCATTGAATTAGGGATGTCAGAAAGTGAAACACCATTTTTCAAAAAAAAATACCCAATGAAGATTACCTTTTTCTAAATTACCCTTCAAATATCGTACAACTTTGCTGAGTAACTATCTTGTGGAAATCACAATGCTTTTATTGCATGCTTAGAAATAACACTTGTGTTTCTGCATGTAGGGGAGTCAAGACTTCCAAACATTCAGGAGAATGTGCGCTCTGCTATCAACGGGAAGATGTCTATGTTCTGTCTTGGATTCGGAAATGATGTGGTATACTCCTTCCTGGATGTAATGAGCAAACAAAACAAGGGAGTAGCCCGCAGGATCTATGAGGGTTCTGATGCAGCCGTACAACTCCAGGTTTGGATAAACATCAAACAAAATAATGATAATGTCCATGCAAGGTTGGGAATATTTGTCATACATATTCACAAACAATAGGGAACAGACAAGGCCTGATTTGGAATAATGTCTTTGTTCCAGGGTTTCTATGATGAGGTGGCCAACCCTCTGCTCTTGGAGGTGGACCTGCGTTATCCTGAGAACGCAGTGGACTCCCTGACGACTAACCACTACAGCCAGCTGTTTAACGGCTCAGAGATCGTGGTTGCGGGTCGACTGACCGACAACGACCTGGACAACTTCATGGTGGAAGTGTTCGCTCAGGGGGTGAGGAATAGACAGTAATATGCCAATAAGCATGAAAAAGCTCTATATAGTAGTTGTTTCTCGAGACAGTTCCTGTAACTGAATATTCAATGCTAAGTGTAGTATTTTTAAAGAAATTAAACTTAAGTAGATTGCTTTAGTCTAACTCACTATGCTATTATGTTCCTTTTTTACTTTTCAAGGCTAAGGGGGATGGTCAGTCCTTCACTTTGAGACTGAAAGATACAACAATTTTGGTGGATTTTAATGTAATCTTGTACATAAAGTCATAATCCCAAAGGAACCATCCTACTGACATGGTCCATTACATTTTTCTTGAGGCTTAATCATCAGGTCAACATTTAAATTGGTCAAATACTTTGTTTTACGATCAAATACCTACAAAACTATTGTTATTCCCTACACCACAGTTATGCTTTGTGCTTAAAAGTACCCTACATGTTTCCATGATAGCTTGCTAAGATATATACCTGTAACACTGTTATTGTGACCATGTTAGCATGCTGACGTTAGCATTTAGCCTCAAAGCGCTGCTAGCGATGCTTTAGACTCTCAGTCTTGTTTTTATCAAATAAAACTACAAATAACTTAGCTGTCAGTAATAACTCATAACATTTCTCCTCCTTCTCAAGTCTGAAGAAGACTTTCAGGAACAGGGAAAGGCCAGTGAGATCAATTTAGATCTGATCTACCCTGAGCAAGAGTACATCTTTGGGAATTTCTCTGAGCGTCTGTGGGCCTACCTCACCATCCAGCAGCTCCTTGAGAAAAGGTCTGTTAATTTGAAATGTGTCTGTCAGTTTTATCTCTACCTGTCCAGGATTTGAAGTAAGATTCTCCATCAACAATGACATTATTCAAAGGAATTCAAATCATTTCATGGTGCATATTTTTGTTGCACCTAGCGCCTCCAATGTCATTAAAAAACACTCAATTTATCAAATCTCTCTTTTTTTTTAAAATCTGCCAGTGACATTGGTACTGAGCAGGAGAAAGGCAATGGGACTGCCAAGGCCCTGGACATGTCTGTGCAATACAGCTTTGTCACCCCTCTCACCTCCATGGTGGTCACTAAGCCTGACACTGAGGATGGACCAGACAGCCCTCTCATCGCTGACAAACTGACTGAGGGTAATATTCAAAGTGGAAATGGACGAGATCAGGTGGAAGCAGTAGGGCGTAGTGCAAAAAGCTGCCGTCAAATCGGACAGTTTCAAGCAGCCGTCAAAGAATATACAGGAAGTCACATGAATACAGTGTTAGATCCATCTGTGGGCTACCCTTAGTTTGTCTGTCATGTTTGTATAACAATGCCTCTGTCATAATTGAGAAGAAAATTAGAAAAGGTTTGGCCAGATTTAACCCTTGGAAGCCGTATTTATTCGATAACCTACATAAAACGTTTATGTGAAGTCATTTAAAAAAACATGCAACCCTTCATTAAAGAAATATACCTATCAAATGTATAGTCACAATATTCTGATAGCTACGTATGCTACACAAGGGTTGAAAAAGAAAAATGATGACAACAAGACACAAGTTTTGCATTGTTTCTGAAGCTGCAGCGTGTTTCTCTTAATGTTATAGTTTTGGGCCGTGGTAGCGCCACCCACCGTACTATTGTTATATTATAGGTTAAATCTAAAAGTGTAGGCCTATGTAGAATATGCCAAAGACAATAAACTAACTTTGTTTTGTGTGTTTTCTATACTTTCACAGACCAGCGACAGAAAGCAGAAAAACACACAGGTATGATCACTTTTAATGTAATCATGGACTTCATCAATCGCATTTTGAGCCAAACAAGCATTCATTATTTTTCATAACAGCTTCTTCAGCCAGTGGGAGACGACAACATAGTCCTATTGCCGCCAAATCTCAGGCTGGGGCTAGCAGTTCCAGTAGTGGCCGTCGTCCTACAAGTAGCAGTTCCCGTGGTAGCAGTATCCGTGGCAGCAGTTCCCGTGGCAGCAGTTCCCGTGGTAGCAGTGGTAAGCTTTTCATACAGCAGCAGTTTTACTATCACATCAATCTATCCCCTGTCACTTTAACTTAAATCTTCAAATGTAATAATTACAGCGGTTTGCCATATCAGATTTAAGGTTATGAATCCTGTGACATTTAACAATTTCCTGTCGTAAAATAGGACATATTGTGCTAATTTCAGGTTCATATTTGTGTTTTGTGCCTCTACTGTGACATGTTTACATGCTTTAATGTTCAAAAAGTGCTTTATTTTTCTCACACTGCTGCACTGAGGAATGTAAATGGTTTTAGAGCTGCTTAAGATTGTATTAAAATATCATAGTTACAAACTTGAGTTTGACTCTTATACAAGCTTGTTTTCCTGACATGACACTTTAATGTTTGTGCAGCGGACGGGGATCCTCACTTCATGATAGAGCTGCCAGACAGAGATGAGGCTCTATGCTTCAACATCAACGACAAACCAGGAACCGTTTTCAACCTGGTCAGAGACCCAATACCAGGTGAGTTATGGTGCATTCACACTGCAGCGCGGAGCTCGCTTTAAGCGTGCCGAGCCGTGCGGGGACAGTTTTTGGTTGCGCTTCCACTTGGCCTAGTTTTGGCCCGGGGCTACTTTTTCACCTTTTTTCTGGCCCGACTAAATCGTGGTTCTATCGAGGCCAACAAGCGGGGCCAACAACCGGGCAGAATATGCTAAACTAGTGACGACTGCTGATTGGTCAGAGAGAATCGTCACAATTCTCGTGCGACTTAATCCCTAGTGTCGCATATATTAAGGGACGCTTGCAGCATTTTTGAAAACAGTGAACCTTGCAGCATTTTTGAAAACAGTGAACCTAAGAAGAAAAAACCACATACCAAGAAGCAAGGACACGATGGCTTTCCACATCCTCCATTGTTGTTGTGTGTTTTGTGAGTTATGTCGCATTGAAGATGACGTCACGGCAGTTGTATGCAGCGTCGCTCCGCCCGCCTAAAAGCCGATCGCCCTGCCTACACTGCGTTACTATAGTAACTACCCCAGTTCCTAAACTGTAATGTGAGCGCAGCATTAAAGTGTGCCGGGCCTAATAAGGCCTAACCAAACCGAGCGAGGCCGAGCGAGGCCTGCAGTGTAAATGCGCCATTAGAGTTCTACTTTTTTTGTGAAAAACCAAAGAAAGGCCAACAAACTAAAACCTGTCATTATTTCAGGCTTTGTGGTGAATGGACAAATTATCGGCAGGAAGAAAATTGATCCGCATGGTAAGATCAATACCTACTTTGGCCGTTTTGGTATCATCCACCAGAAGCTGGGAGTGAGGCTGGAGGTGAGCACGCAGGAAATCTCAGTTTTCCACGAAGGCAAGCAGGTCAAGCTGCTGTGGTCCGATACAACCTCTATCAAAGAAAACAAGTGAGTAACATTGCCTTACAAATATTATCTAAAAGTAATAGGAGGAATATTGTCATTTTGGTCATGCCAGGATAAAATGCTTTTTAAAATGAATGTAAAGAAAGTTTCTATTTAACTTTTGATTTTATGTTTTTGAAATACTTTTAATTACGGTAAAAACACAAAACATATACTTAGACCTTCAAACATTCATGGCAAAGATGACAGAGCACATAGATTTATCAATTAAAGGGGACCTATCATGCAAAATGCACTTTGTGAGGTCTTTTATACATACATATGTGTCCCCGGCGCGTCGGGGAACTCACGCAGCGTCAGAAAATAAAACCCTCTCTCTTTTCCTCCGTACCCAAATCTTTTTTGAAAAACGGGTGTACAACGAGCGGATACAGATTCCATCTGATCTGATCTGAGTCAAATCGGCAGTGGACCCACAGAAAGTTGCTATCAGAAACAATGCCTGACGTGTTTTGGACGTAATCTCGTCTTTGTTTACATTAGCAAGCCTCGCTAACACTCAGAGCTAACCTGTACTGAAGAGCACATGTGTTTAAAAATAATAATAAAAAAAGGAACTCACCTTGTGATAAACCCACAAGAGAAAAAGCATTTGAGCTCCATACTATTTCAGAAATAATCCTTGACGTGGTTTAAACAGGATGGCGTTTTATCACAGCCGAATTTAACTTTATCTCCGGTAGTATTCTGATCAGGCATTAGCTCCGCCTCATCTTCTTTCTTTTTTTCAAGCTAAGGACCCAAGATCCGCGTTTCTCTAACAGGGCTTCGAAAGAGGGGTTTGAGCAGTATGAGGGAAGGCTACAATGGGTGAACTGTTTGGTATTTTAAGCAAAAAACTTCACAGACATGTTTTGTATAGGCATGGCATGGCCCTACAATATATTTTTCAAATATAGCATGATAGGTCCACTTTAATATGATTACTGTTATGTTGCTGCCTGGTGTATGTTTAAAGGTTATTGATNCTTTCTGCTGTCCTGATTTCAATGGGGAGCTCATTCCACCATTTTGGAGCCAGGATAGCAAACCCACGTGTTTTTGCTGATGGGAACTTGGGTCCCCCTCGCAGTGCGGGTGCAGCGAGCTGTTTGGCCGATGCAGAGCGGAGGGCACTTGCAGGGTGTACAGTTTAACCGTGTCCTGGATGTAGGAAGGGCCAGATCCATTCGCAGCATGGTACGCAAGTACCAGTGTCTAGAAGTGGATTCTAGCAGTTACCGGAAGCCAGTGAAGGGAGCGGAGGAGCGGCGTGGTGTAAGGAGAATTTAGGAAGGTTGAAGACCAGACGAGCAGCTGCATTCTGGATGAGCTGCAGAGGTCGGATGGCACATGCAGGTAGACCAGCCAGGAGGGAGTTGCAGCAGTCTAGGCGTGAGATGACGAGAGGCTGGACCAGAACCTGCGTTGCTTTCTGGGACAGCTGGGGACGTGTCCTCCTGATGTTGTAAAGCGTGTATCTGCAGCAGCGGGTTGTAGCAGCGATGTTTGCAGTGAAGGACAGTTTTTTATCTAGGGTCACACCCAGATTCCTTGCAGTCTGAGTCGGGGAAACAATAGAGGTGCCGATGTTGATTGTTAGGTCAAGAGTGGGACAATCTTTTCCCGGAAGGAAAAGCAGTTCAGTCTTGTCAAGGTTGAGCTTGAGGTGGTGAGCAGACATCCACTGAGAGATGTCAGCTAGACAAGCAGAGATGCGTGCGACGACCTGGGTCTCTGAGCGGGGAAAGGACAGAATTAATTGGGTGTCGTCAGCGTAGCAGTGGTATGAAAAACCATGCGGGGTAATGACAGATCCGAGCAAGTTTGTGTACAGGAAGAAGAGGAGGGGACCGAGAACAGAGCCCTGAGGGACCCCTGTAGTTAATTAGCTATAGCAGATTATAGAAATATAACTATAGGTTAGAATATCCAGACGCAGTTTACAAGTAATTTAAACAAGCTCCACTTTTACCAGCTGTGATAGACACATTAATGTATCAATAATCATCTGCAGTAATGTAATATATATGATTTTGAAAAGGGTCCTTAATCATAACACATACTTTTATTTTTTAGATTTAAGTATAATTTGATGCCAATACTTTAAACACATTACAGGGGAAGCTGTGGCTCAGTGGGTAGTGCGCTGAACTTCAAATCAGGGGGTAGCAAGTACGAGTGCCATGCACTGCAGTCAGCATGCCGTTGTGTCCCTGGGCAAGACACTTCACCCCAAATTGCTCCTGTGGGGATTGCCCACTTTACTTTAAAATGAGTCTGCAGCCTGCTTTAATTACTTTCAAAAACTAAACTACATTACATTTAGCTGACGCTTTATCCAAAGCAACTTACAATACCGTACATGTAATAAACAATAAAGATACAAACTCAGAACAACAAGAAAAATGCAGATATGTTCACTTAAAATATGCCAATCTTCACTAGGTACTACCTGTATTCATACATCGTCATTTAATCATATTGTGAATAATTCCGAAGGAAATACACAAAACAGTCTACCTAGTTTCTTTCCACTCCTGGGTACTTTTGTATTTGTAATTTGTGAATATTATAAAAAAATTAATTTACTCAAAAATAGGTATTTTGTGTACTTAGTTACTTTCCAACACTTGGTAATATTTGTATTTATAATATGTGAATATTCAAAATGTAATAACTCAAAAAAAATAAACATGTACAGTAACCTACTATACTACTTTCCACGACTTTGTACTAAATGTATTCATAATCTGTGAATATTCTGAATTATTCCTTCACCACTAACTAGTTGTTTCTTTGTTTTTCTTTTGTATATAAAAAAAAACCAAGCAACTGTTAAATGAATGCACATTCATCACTAACAAGCAACATAACTTAAAATGTTTAATTTCTTGTCTACTCAGTTACTTTCCACCCTTGGGTGCTCTTTGTATTTATAAAGTGTCCTTTTTTATGATTAATGGAATTACTCAAAAATAGGTATGTTGTCTACTAAGTTACTTTCCATCATTGGGTAATATTTGTATGTATAATATTCAAAATAATTCCAAATGTGATAGCTAAAATATAAACATAGTTAGTTGTTCTTATATATTATTATTTGTAACTTATTTATATATGTATATAGACTACATGTTAAATGAATGCACATTCATCACTAACAGCCAATTTAACATAATATGTTTAATTTCTTGTCTACTTAGTTACTTTCCACCCCTGATTACTCTTTGTATTTACAATATATTTGAATATTCCAAAAATAAGTCGTACTTACGACTGTGCACTGAAAGTATTCATAATTTGTGAATCTCTTGAATAAATCCTAAACCACTAAATAGTTGTTTGTTTTTCTTTTATATATATATAAAAAATGGGTACATCATGTATATCAAATTAATGCACATTCTTCACTAACATCCAGCACAACTTATAGATGTTTAATTTCTCGTTCTCGGGTGCAAACTGCAGGCTTTCACTTGTTAGTCAAATTAAAGCGTCTGGAGAGGGAGAAAGAGCAGGGAGAAATCATTAGAGAGGAATCCCAGGCATATGGCTGGCTTTTGTCGGCTCCCCTCCCCCTCCCGTCCCTTCCTTCCCTCCCTTGCTCCGCAGCAGCAGCAGCAGCAGCAGGACAGAGGTAGTTCAGTTTTTGAAGCCGTGGCATGAATGATCTCATCTGAACCTGATCTCCGCTTTCCCTGCCGTCGATCCTATGACCGAGACGGGAATAAAATAACACAAACACGAGGTGAGTACCGGGCCGTTAGTCGCCGTTGTTACCCGGCGAGACCGTGGTTTTTTGTTTTTTTTCCGGGGGAACTTAAACAGCCCAGCCGCGGTAAAAAAAACTCTTGTTTTTGGCTAGAAAAAGGAGGAAGGACCGCGGAGGATGTGTGTGGGTGGGCGCTGTAGGCTAATTAGCCGAACTTGCTAGCATTTATGTTGTACAAGCAATACATAAAGAAGGTTATATTGAGACCAACTGTTTTCATTTTTCTACTGTTTCACTGAACATATTAGCACAGTTAGCTTAGCTCATAAAGTCAGAGCCGTAGCTTAGCTAGTAGCCGGCTAGCTGTTAGCTACTAGCGCAAAATGGCCTCATTGTCGCTCGGTAGCTCTGATGCTGAAAAGACAAAGCATGCGGCAGTCACGGCCAGCAGCTCCGAGCCGCTCTCTACAGCCGCTCTGCAAGCTCCACAACACCGGCTCATAACGCTTAATTAGTGTTATTCACAGGGAAATGTGAAAAATACAATGTCGCCGTGTTGTGAGTTTATTTACACGTTTAGTACGGTAGGCTGTGAAAGTGGAGAGGTTTCGGTGTGCAGTGGGGGATGGGTCATGCTAGCAGCCATTGACGTAAAGCAAGGCTGCATTCTGTTTGGCTCCTAGCATAATACAAGGGCTCAGTTTAATACAGAGGTGGAAGAAGTACAAAGTTGCACTACCAGATTTTAGGAATACTCTGTTACAATTCAAAGTCCTGCATTCAAAACGTTACTGAAGTAGAAAAGTATTAGCATTAAAATATACTTAAAGTACCAAACAGTACAAGTACTCATTATGCAGATTTTAGAACAATATATATTGTATGTTTTGATTATAATTATTGTTGCATGTAAAGGTGCAGCTAGTTTTAATTTAAACCTGTATGCTGCAGGGTAGCTTGTGAATGTTACTCAAGGTGTAACTAAAATCTTATGTAAGGGTTGTTTATATTTCACATTTATTTATCACCATCTGCTAAGTTACTAAAGAAATTAAATGTTTGTAGCAGAGTCAAAGTGCAACATTTACCTCTGAATTGTCGTGGGAGTACAAAGTAAAAGATAGACAAGTACAATTGTATTTAAGTACAGAATACAGATTAGTTACTTTACACCAGTGGTTTAGTAGTCATCTTTCTATAGCTGTGTATAGTAGTGCTGTGTTGCATATATACAATTGTCTAATACAAGTTTTGTGACTACAATATTATTTGCGTAATATTTTTGTTTTTTTACATTTGATTACTCAT